TTGTATTCCAGAGGCTGCTGTGTAGCGATACAGAAGCCAATCTTTAACTAGTGAAATGGAACTTTAATGTTTACCAAGCAGATAGGACCCAGGTGTTTCATCTCATCTGGCGAACAGAACAGCACTGTCAAACTACAGGAGTTTTTAGTAAATGGAAAGTGCATATCGTTTCCTCTCTCTCTCGTTTCCTCCTCTTTCCAAAGCAAAATCCAAAAATCCTTTTACTGTCTGGTCAGTCAGAAGGAGGAAACAAGAGAGAAAAAAAAAGTCTTTTTAACCATGACATTGACACCTACAAATTTTAGAGTACTAGAGAATTTCTACAGAACTGTTTTTCACAAGACTCTTACCTCAAATCTGTTTTTATTCCTTTTCATCTTCATTTTTAACTTCAGAAAACAGACATGTTTCTCCCAGGGGAACAATTAAATGTGTTTTCTTTCAAAATCTAAAGGGCATGGTGAGCAGGCTGTGTGTTCAGCAGGCTACTTTAATCAATGGAACCCATCCAGCCTGCCGCTGCTGACCAAATTGCAATTTACATTGGTAGATAAAACTTCTGAAATGGGAAGATGCAAGAATATAATACCAATTTCTGGCATAAAACAGATGCAGAGTGATATGTGGCTTAATGGTTTTCCAATAAGCTTTTTGGGGAAAAAAAAAAAACCAAACAACTTTGAAACCTTAGAAGTATAGACTAAAATTATAGAAAGTTCTTCTTGACCAGTGAAATTAATGCTAAATGTGCAAGACTAATGTAGTCCACATGACACTCATGTCTTATTTAAGCCTCATTACAGAGATTTAAGAGAAGCCAGATTTGCAAGATCTCCTCCCTCCGCCCCTGGTTCTCAACAGTCTCTCCTCACATACACATAAGATTTTAAACCAGACAAGAATGACAAGATGGAGTGAAATTGTTTGGGACCTGAACACAACTTAAACCTGTCTTATAATATTAAAGATGTATGTTTATTTATTTGTTTAACAGAAGTGATGATGAATAAGGCAGAATGCATATTTATCAAGATGTTGGAAAAGATAGAAAACCAGAAAACTAACGTTATGGACTGAGAAATGTATTAAACCCTTAGGTAGTACTGTTCTCTCTTTTAGGAGGAATAGCTACACTATGAATACCAGGTCTGTTTCGCAACCTGAGTAAGCCCTATGAATTGCTGAGGTTAACATTTTCTTAGCTACTTAATTTCATAGTTATTTTGTGCAAGTATTACAGGGAGGTTTTAACATTATGCAAAGAGGCAGTGATTCCAACCAAGTATACACGGACTTTTCACTGGCAGTGCCTGAGAGTCACAATGAAGCAGCGCTGCTGTGCTTATCAAATATGAGATCAGTTTATTTGTGCTATAAATAAAAGTAGATCTTGGTAGTGTAATTACATTCCTCAGCATTATCCTCTGCCATTCACTTCAGAAAGAAAAAAAAAAAAGGGAGAAAAAGTTGCCTTCATGATAATTTGTAATCAAAATGACTACACTTAAAACATAATTTTATTTCCCTGATTTCATTTCCTGTGGAGGTTCGTGGGGCAAATAGACAATATTATACAAAATTTGCTGGCAGATAATTCTCACATCCTTTCACGGTCATTGTCTAGATCACTCCCCCACCTCCAACCCATGCTTTCCCCAAAACTGAAGACTGTGTTTCTAATGCTGAATTTTATCACTGAGAGATATATCAGCATCAGAAATCCCGTGAGTGAATCAACTTTTACTTTCCCTTCCTCCTTTCCCCTCTACCAAATTACTCTTCCTTGCCTAATTTGCTTTTTATGATGTTGGAAATAAATGTGGTTTCCCACTATGAAGGATTAGCACAGATTATGGCGAACAGTGTTAATTATAGGTGGGGAAAGAGAATTGTGCATCTCTCCAATCTGTTCTTGATTTCCCTCGTGCCTGTCTGGCTGGTAATAAGCCTCCTTTAATCTGGCAGTCCCCTTGGTGAAATCAGCACCACGGACAGCAATATTGATTGCTTCTGAGAAACCATCACAGCTGCTCAACCAAATTACCTTTGATATGTGACCTTTAATGTAATTACTGCAACATCAAAGCATTTCTATAAATTATTAAAGAACTAATATACTTCATCATCCAGCTACTCTATTATATGTAAAATAAACAATCACAAGTAAACGCTTTAATTTGAGATGTCCGATGCTCGCAAAAGTGCTCTTTAAACATACACGCACAGCCTCCTACATTAACCTTCAATTTTAGGTGATAATCTCAAACGGTCCAAAAGAGACTAATTCATTTAGAGGAAGAGGATTCGACTAATAATTTTATGTTTTACATTCCACTCTAGTTACTTCATGATTCCTTCTTGCCCAAAAACAAAGTGCCATAAAGACTTTATTAATAAACACATACCTGCCTGGAAGTCTTTTGATTATTCCACAAGATGACTTTATGCCCCACATATAACACAAAAATATGTGAAACATATTTCTGTCATCTTACAAAGCACATCCAGAAAGTAATTACTGTAAAATATGTGCATGTAGCCACTCCACTAAAAACACAGTGACACATAGCTAAGGGGCAAGGTGTCTGAATCTGGACACAAATTCCTAATGCCTCACCATTTCCATACATTAGCGTTCATGTGCATATTATTAAAAATGACTCAATTTTCTGCTTTAGAATACAAGGATCACGAACAGCAATATTGTAGGAGAAGACAAATATAGAGTTTACTGATGGAAAGAAGCATTCTAATTTAACGGCTTACAGTAGTACTACTTCCCCCTCCTACCTCAGGCTTGTTAATTATTTTCCATACTTTCTGAGTAGCGCTGTCTGTGTCAAGGACACTTGAGGGTCAAGAGAAGGGGTTATATATGTGTCATTTTTGAACTCATGTGAACGAAGACTTAGACCCTTGACCTTTATGAATATTTTTTATTTTATGATGATGAACTATTCTTGATATTGTTGGTGCATATAATCCAGAACAGTCAGGTAAGTCATAAATAATTCTTAGCTACTCACATAGGAATCATTAAACAGTATCCAGGCATAATAGTTTATCAAGAGACAAGGCTGGTTTCCTTAAATAAACTACAGTGACATCATTCAGAGGATGAGTTCAGAAACTTGGCAGAAGACTGTATGCAGAGGGTTTGCTGGTGAAAAACAGAGTTTATCCTGAGACAAGCAGAACAAGAAGTAAAAGGGAGAGTCAGTGCTCAGAACTGTCAAAATCCAGGTTACAATTGCAGAGGGTTCACTTTCTCAGTTTAATCAGATACCGATGTGTCATTTCAAAGTTTAAAAACAAATCAAAAGAAGCATTCTGAAATCAGCATGGTCAGTATGATCTGTATGGGATGGAAGTGACATAAACCAATGAACAAATGTTTTATCTGTATTATAGAATCAAACAATATAATCTGTGAAATGCATCTTTATGCCAGTTCAACTGGTGGAATTTTGTCACGGTCCAAAGCAACAATTTTTACGATAAGAGTTTTGTGATTTGGAATCCCTAAAATGCAAGCCAGGATTCAGAAATATACACATATAAAGAAGTCTATTTGTAACAAAGTTACCTCCAGTTTTAATAAACATTTCAAGCTTATTTTAAAAAAAATCCAGGTAAAATACTTTAGACATCCCAATTCAACACAAACATTTATTTTCAATTTTATGTACTTACAGACCTTAATTCTTGAATGATAAAAGAAAACATTAACTATAGGAAGAAAAAAAAAAAAAAAGGATAAACCTAAACATCAACATTAAAAATAAAAATAAACCTGAACATTAACTTTCAATCTGTGGTTAACGGGTTTCTAGAAAAAAAAAATTTCTGAGGGAGTTGTCAGCTGACAGAAACGTATTTTTAGGGAATGAAGTATGTACATATTTACATAAGGTATGGCCTTTAAAGCAAAGATAGACTTAGATGAGCAAGTGTGTGGGCATCTCTGCAATGGCAAGGTGGCAAAGAGATAGGTAAATAAACTCTGGATGATGGAAACAAGCAGAGCAGAATCAACACTTTCTTCAGAAACAGAGCAACTGGTTTATCTTAGGTTTTTTAAAGTGGTGGGTTACGGGTAAACAGGACTCATTCGTAATACATGAAGTAATAAAACAAAACCTTGGATCAATTTCCCCTTGATTTTGGCAAAAACTGAGACATTCAAGATCTCAGTGTTAACTACTTGATCACTGGCTTTAGGATAAAATCAGATTTGTTCTGGTTTGCAGTGTACAGGAATCCTGCACTCAGATGTTTCCAATCTGTATATCACATCTGAATTTAAATAATCTCTCTCTCCCTTCTTTTGGTTACTGCTAAACTGGAAACCCTTCCCAGCAGAGAAGGTCTTCCCCACGTAATACTGATTCTATTTTTAGTTCTGGTAGTGTTGTCTGAACCTTAGATCTTGTTCATGTGAATAATTTTCCTCATTATCTTGTGCTCATCTCCTCTCTCTCTTTCTCTTGTCTCACCGCCTTTCCAATCTGCTACAGCTGTTTGAATACTAAAGCAACTGAGTCAAACCACTTTGTCATCAAGAATATGTTTTCTTTCTGTGATAACTCAATAATGTGATCTGTCTCTTGATTTTTCAGTACCATACCTTGCTTCAGAGAAGAAAAACAGTAAGAGTTAACACCTTGTGAGCAGTTCTAATACTTCACTATAACAGTCATAAGCTTAAAGCCTTTCCTCATCTGAATAAATCTGGTAGAATCTAATCCACAACAAGTTTATTATTGCTTTGCTCTTATCAGGAGCCAAGAAAAGCCTTTTCTGTTTGTGCATGGATACGATTTGGGTGTGTCGGTGATATCTTGATTTTATTAGCACAGTGTAAATAGTGAAACATACAAGCAACCAGAGACATTATGCTTCCAAACTCAAGATGGGAACTGCATATGTAATCAATTCTAGATTTTTAGAAAAATAAAATTAAAAAAAAAAAAACAGAAAAAAAATCAATATGAACTCACCCCTGGCAGTGTCTTCTGTTCGTGCAGTGCACTCTGGGCCTTTAGAGCAGACTCCCTTTCGCAGTATGTTAGGAAGGCACAGCCTGAAAGCAATAACAGAAAAGAAACCACCTCAGTAAAAGCAGTGTTTCCCAAAAGATTTGTATGTGGAATAAACCTATCGTCACCCATTTCAGTAAATTAACCACTGAATCTCTCTTTAGTAAGTCAACAGTGAAGAGTCTAGAAATTAAGCAGTCATCACTTCCACTTGGCCCTTGCAAAAAGCGAGTAACAGCAAAGATATAAGTGTTTATTTTTGTTTGACTATATACTACATATTAGATACAAAGAGATGTGTAGTATCTGGGATCCTCAGAACACACAAATTACAACAAGGTGGATCATGAGATCCTACTCCAGCTCCATGTTAGCACTGGGAACAAGTTTACCTTACCCTACAATCATACCATGCTGAAGATCTCACACATTTCTCTGTAGAAAGTACTTCAGGTAAGGGGTATAAAAGTACTAAGGACTTTCTACTGCAGAGATCTATGACTATTCTTTAGCCTGACTTGAATTCAGAAGCGGTCTCCCAGTCTGTATTCACACCAGAAAGTCACCTCCCTGTAAATGCTGCTGCAAGGGTTCATCGTCTTTGTGTGAATGTATGGAAGACAATCATAGCAAAGCCCAAAAAAGCAAAAAGATCATTGCTTTACAGATCAGCAGAACTTCAGAGATATTCTAATCTATCACATATATTTGCTTCTTCCAGGAAGCTGTCTTAACTGAAAATGAAAAATCCCTGTCAGATTATGACAGAGTAAAAACCCTACCACACCTCCCTCCACATATATTCTCCTCTTCTCATATAACTGGTGAATGTTGCAGTATCTTCTATCAGTTGTGCATGTATCTGCTGTGATCAGATTATTCCTTCTTACTGCAGTATTCTGAAAACCTGCCAGTTCCTGCAGCAGAAGTAGTGCTTGTTATGCAGAGAATATTTTCTTTGAAATTACAACACAATACCTGTAATCATATAATCTCTCTGATGTATAGTTAAGAAATCTTTCAAGGTTTAGGCTTGCCCATAGGCTTGGCATGTCCAAACTGTAGGCATTTCCAAGAGGAACACAATACACATAGGCTGTCAAGGAAACCACATCTTGACCCACTCGTCTTCTTCCCGTGCATATAAAAAATATGCAGTATGTGACTTAACACTAGAATATGGTGACCCCCATATGATATTTCAATTCTGACCCCCATTATGATATTTTGCCCATAAAACAGACACAGTTTTATACAAATTTCTTGGGTAGCATATGTTTCAGAAGAACAGTGCGCTTGTCTTCTTTTCAGCGATTTTAATAAATTAGTAAGCACAAGGGAATAGGGAGAACATATGAAATTTTTTAAAGATTACTTTGTTGCAGTCACCCTACTCTCCTCAAAATAAAACCACAAGCTCTTTAATTTTTCAATTTAACATGGGAAAAAATAATTTTTCCCCTTCTTCTTATTCCATATTACTTTCTGAAGGTCTTGCTCCTTTCAGTATATTCAAGCCAATCACATTTATTATGTCTCAATAATTGATATTCTCAGAAGGAGAAACTGACAGTCAAGGAAGGAGACTGAACAAACAGCAAAAGTTTCCATCCTCTAATTGGAATTATTTGGATTCATTCCCCTTTAACTTTAAATGGATGAGTTTTCAGTCTGCATTTGCCATGAAAGGGAAAGAAAATGTGGTAGAGACAGTTTACAGCTAGTGGAGGTAATAGATTGAAAAGTATCCTTAAAAGTCACCCATAGCTTGATAATCAAATGGGAAACTATGCTTAAATTTAATTTCAGTGCTAAATCACAGGCTGAGTGCTCTCTGTTGACTAGACACAATAAGAACGTCTCCCTTTAGTAGCAGACGTGGAGCAGCTGATACAGTCTAATTAGGCACATCATAGTGCACTGTTATAGAGATAAACTATGCAGTGTAAAGCTCCCATAATGATAGCTATATTTTTCTCCTTATTGTGATGGCCATGAAGACAGTTCAGGATAACAGTGTTGTGACTTTAATTCCAATGGAATAGAAAGACTTTCTCTCTGAAGGGATAAGGTTTCCTTCCAAGATCTGCAGGTGTGCATGGGGCCAAGTTCTCATCAGAGATCAACCTCCAGGAAGTCCTCTCCAATTATGTTTGAGCAAGTGACAGATGTATGAAACTCACAACCACCAGAGACTTCCAAAAGTACTCAGGGCAGAAGGACTTTGACAATGAGAAAGAGGAGGTTCTGGATCAGGTTGTCCACAGAAGTTATGGATGCTCTGTCCCTGGAAGTGTTCAAGGCCAGTTTGGATGTGGCCCTGAACAACATTATCTAGTGACCCCCCTGCAGCAGGGGGCTTGAACTTAATGATCTTTGATGTCCCTTCCAAACCAAGCTATTCTATGATTCTATGAAAAAAAAAAAAAAAAAAAATCTGGTGAAAGGTTTTAATATGATCAGAAAAAAGAAAAGAAAGAAAAAAAAAAAGAAGCCAACAAAACCAATAAGAGCCTCTCCCACCAGAAAAAATGAGAAGAGGAGAGGAGAGGAGAGGAGAGGAGAGGAGAGGAGAGGAGAGGAGAGGAGAGGAGAGGAGAGGAGAGGAGAGGAGAGGAGAGGAGAGGAGAGGAGAGGAGAGGAGAGGAGAGGAGAGGAGAGGAGAGGAGAGGAGAGGAGAGGAGAGGAGAGGAGAGGAGAGGAGAGGAGAGGAGTGAAAAGAAAAGAAAAGAAAAGAAAAGAAAAGAAAAGAAAAGAAAAGAAAAGAAAAGAAAAGAAAAGAAAAGAAAAGAAAAGAAAAGAAAAGAAAAGAAAAGAAAAGAAAAGAAAAGAAAAGAAAAGAAAAGAAAAGAAAAGAAAAGAAAAGAAAAGAAAAGACCAATCTTCTGGGGTAAATAGTTTGTGGAACTATCTTTACCTTGCTCTTTACAAACATATTATACACATTTACTACATACTATACCTTTCTTGCTTATTAAAAAGTCCTTTTATTTAGGACTTACCCAAAGTAAATCCTGATTTCTTAGAAATAGTTAGAAGTCTCATCCTAGAAACCTTCAGTTGGAGTCAAGTACAGCTTAGTGTTTACAACAGACCTCAAAAATAAACTTAAGAAGGCCAGTTCATGTTAGACAATTTTTATGCAATCCTGCATAATTTTCGTGTTTCATATTTTAGGAAGACAAGAAAACTTCTTGCCACTCTCACTGTCTAAGCACCAAAATACTTGATCTATCCTTAATATTGCTATGCTTAATGCACATCAGATTGAAGCACATCTTTTACATGCTGTTTTTCCTAGGGTGCTCCTTTCAGTGCACCTACACATTGGATTTCACAGTGAAAGTCATATTGTTAAAGTTGTTCTTTCATGTCTATTTCCCTATAGGAAAAAAAAAAAACAAAAACATCAAAGCAATTTTCTCTATTGGAAGTTTTGATTGTGTACAGAAACACTTATTTCACACACATACACATTAGAAAAAAAAAAAAAAAAAAAAAAAAAAGAAGGAGAACTCTCAACTAACTGCATTTAGCAGCTCATTTGCCATCAGCCATCTGGGCTGGATGTGAATCTGATTTCTCAGTGAAAAACTTTGCATTCCATTTCAAATCTTAGCACCATCCAGCCCTATGAAACTGCCTGGTTTTGTGAACATTTCTGAATACACCTCTTAAGGGAAGACAGGGTGAAGGCTATGCATTATTCCAGTCACCTACTTATATGGGTGATAATAACTGAGTAAGTGTAGTGTTTTAGAATTATATCTCTCAATTCGAGCAAAAAGTCCAATTGACCAATTATCGATAGTGATGGATTTGCTCCTAGGTTTTTCTAATTTTAACTCTATTTCTCTCAAACATGCCAAATTTTCCAGAAATATGTCAATCAGCTGAAAGTTGTCATGTTTGTCTTGTGTCTTTCCAGCTGTTCATTTGCTAGCAGTGGACAGCTTTTTGGGCAAGTATATAAACATCTGGAAACTCCCGGCTGGCAATTAACTCTCAACCTATTGAACTGCACTCTCCTGGAAACATAAGGATGTATCAAGTGTTCTCCTGGGAAACAGAGTTGTTAAAGGGAATGGGAGAAACAAAAACAGGAGCTCAAAATGAAAATAAATAAATAAATAAAAATTCTAGCTTAATTTTACCTCCAGGGAATTCAATAACATAAATAATAATTGCATCGAGTACAGATGGATAATGATCACACAGCAACTTCAGCCCCACAGTAAGTCTTCTGAAGATTCTATGCAAGCCTGGGAGGCAAAACAGTTGGGGGATGCATACTGAGCCCAACAGCCTAATTCTGGAAATCAAGAATCTTTCACCCCACCAGTACTCAGTTCATCCTGGGACAAACTAAAGCACATTGTTTTCACTTGACATCTTAGTACTTATCACTTCAGTTAATTGGTTAGCCCTCTGTTGCTTTAAACCAGATAATAAAGTAAGAAGAACGGCTCACCTAACATAGCTTCTGCTATTTAAAACAAGTAGTTCTAAGATTTACCATTAATAAGAAATTTATTTTACCTTACATTCAAGAGGAATAAACCTCTGGAGAAGGCCAATCCTTTGCACTGATTGTAAAGCCCCAGAACAACTTCATAAGGCATACACTTTTATCTTCAATATTGCATATTCATAGAAACAAAACCCACCTACAACCTCTACCCTCCCAGTTACCCCAACCACATGCACTGTCCATATCTGAATTAATTCTTGTTATCTACAATGGGAGATGATGATACATACTGAGGATCTCTTAGGATCCTGTTATCCTTAGGATAACTGTTATCCTTAGGATAACTGTCATTAAGGTTCCCTCTTCCTCCCTGTTTTTTTTTTTTCTTTACTTTGGCAGACAGCCACAAGTATCTTGGCAAATTGTTTAGGCCAAAGAATCAAGCACTTAGTGACTTATGACCCTTTCTTTGCCTGTTTTGATGATATTTTATTATATCAATAGAATTACATAACCTCAAACAAAACTTATCTGTAGCTTCACCACATATATCTAGATCCAGAAGAATTTTCT